TCCGTCACGAGAGCGCAGCCAGCTCTCGAGACAAACCCACGCGCTCGTGCGCAGTGCTCGCAGACTTGCCCGCCGGCCGTGTGCCGGTAGATACATAACACTATCAGCTTGGATTCTTCTGCATGTCTGTACTTCATAAGATTATGTTGTGTGTGATGCGTTAGTATATCAACAAGCGCAGAAAAGCAGTTCCAATCGTCTTATCGCTGTAGAATTGTTTTGTCGTCTTCTTCGTCGTGGTCTACTTCGTCTCGTGAACGCGTGAACCCACCGTGTTAACGCAGGGATCGCAATGTGGCCGCGGGGAAAACAGCGGCAACACTACTCCAGCACTCCGGTGCTCGGACGTCTCAGTTCACTTGGAAACAAAATAGTTCAATGGAAAACATTACGATAATTGGACGGTCCATCGGCTAGGCGGAGCACCATGAAACTGCATCAAATGTGCCGGTGGAAAACTAAGTTTGGTAGTGTTCAGGCTTCTCCATAACGTTTAATTGACGATGAAATAAGAAGAGCTGAATAGACTTTCCCGTGGAGCGATAGTCTTTTAAAAGTCGTTTTATTGTGGTTCACAGCCTGTGCGATAGAGTACAGATGAACTGCAGGAAGAAGCCTGCACACAAAAACAAACGATTTACAGAAAGACCATGCCTGACGCGGCGTAACAATTCGCATCTGTAAAAAAACAAAAAAACAAAAAAAAAACTATCATGTCTGATAACACAAAACTTTAGATGAAGGCTAGTTTTTTTTTTTTTTTTTTTTTTTGACAGTTCCTATTTAGTTTTAATTTCTTTGTGGAAGCTACAAACCCTAACAGTCGCCCGATGGTGGAATTGTTTTCTTCCGCCGTCATTGGTGTTGATGTGGAATGAATCAGTAACGCAAGCCGAGCTCGAGTTGCGGCAAAATAGACCTAGTCGGCGCTACGGGGTCGAGAAATGTCACTTCAGTAAATGGCGTCAAACCGAAACTAAAGAGGAAAGAGGGCCGGTAAAGTTATCGCTCCGCTCTTCCGGGCACGCGATTCGTCATTATCGCGACCGGCTCGCCTAAGCAAGTGGAACCTGCCGTGATAATGACGAATCGCATGTCCGGAAGGGCGGAGCAATAACTCTACCGGCGGTCTTTCTTGTTTAGTCTCGGTTTGACGCCATTTACTAAAGTGACATTTCTCGACCCCGTAGTGCCTACTGGGAATTTTTTTATCAATATTTGACGACATGGCAAGACCATTCTGTGGTCGATCTTCAATCCTCTAAATACATTATGTGCCCTCAAGTGAAAAATTAAAAAGTTAGTTTAAACATTTTAGTTAATTAGCTAACTAATTATCTAATTTCACCTTTTTTCTAGAGGCCGCCATGGCCACTAACACTTCCCCAGGGCTCAATTTATTCTATCTCACGTTCCCTTTTTTTTAAATTTGGGGCAGCTAAAAAAAAAACACCCTGAATATATACATATATATATGCGTAATTTATATATATATATATATATATATATATGGTCCGATCGAGAAAAGTAAACCCTACTATTCGGCCCGCGTAAAAAAATTACGCATCGCAGTACGCTCAAACTCCGCCAGAATGTAACCCCAGGGGTCCAAGCAAGATGCCAAAGTTGCCAGCCCGATCCTATAACTTAATCAAACGTTATAAGTGATTTACTGAAAATTTCAAATAGGAAAAAGGCCGCCGACGGAGTTTTCGAACACATGGGCCTCTATGACACCAGAAACCGAAAACAGGCAAAAATGGGCTTCATTTTCTCATTGAAATTTTCGGAAAATCACTTATAACTTTTCAATAAGGTATCGGATCGGGCAGAAACTTTGGCATCTTGCTTGGACTGCCAGGGGTACATTCTGGCGGAGTTTGAGCGTCCTGCGATGCGCAATTGTTTTACGCGGGCCGAAAAGTAAGGTTTACTTTTCTCGATCGGACCCTGTATATAACATCATAGTTTGAACGCTAACCTCATGGTTAGCGTTCAAGAGTGTATTTTGGAGTATAACAACGAAACTAAGTTTAGAACGCACTGCGGAATAACAGTTGAACATTTCCTTTAACTATTATCTGTGTATTTAAAATTTACTTTTATAGGGTGGGAGGAAAAAGTGTTCGTTCAAAAGTCAGGTGTTTGTATAGGGTCAAGAGTAGCGCCTGCACTAAGCGATATTTTCCTCGGGAAAATAGGTAGAGCTCTAGTTCAAAAATTGGAAAATCCCACCATTAAGATCTTTAGATATGTTGATGATTTTTTGGTATTTGTTGAACCCTCCGGTTGCGGAAAAACATTAGATTACGTCCTTGAAGTATTCCATGAGCTTGCCCAAGGCCTTAGGTTGACTTATGAGACCCCAAAGAGAGTCGAATTCAGTTTTTAGATCTCCTCGTTGAATTTACAATAGAACACACTTGCTGGTTGTATCATCCTAGAACATCAAAGAGCTTGCTAAACTACCAGTCAGCGAATTCGAAGCTCGTAAAAAAAGGAATAGTGTATTCCTGTTTGAAATCCGCTTTAACAAAATAATGTGTTCACACAATGGGCGTTAGCTTCACTTCCCAGATTCAAAGGATTAGGGATCCAGGATATCCAGACTCAATTATTTCATCAGCATGCGATAGTTTAATAAAACTCGTAAAGATTAGTTCCAATTTCATGCTGGAAGAACCAGTTAAAAAAGAAAAAAAAAGAAAGTTTCGGCCATTCCTTATTTTCACCGCATTTCACAGGGACTTAAAAAAATCGCGTCCAGATACGAGGTAAACGTTGTTTTTTCAGCCAAAAACGAACTAAGTAAATTATGTTCCGCTGCACGTGCACGCAGGGAGGGGGTAGCAAGGTCGGAATATAACACATGTAAGGTAGACCATGGGATAAAGTTCGTGTCGTGCGTCAAAGGCGTGGTTTACCGCATTCCCTTCTCTTGTTGGCGCTGTTATATCGGGCAGACTGGCCGGTGCTTAAACATCCGTCTAAGAGAGCACCACAGCTCCTTGAAAGGCACCGCTAATTCACATCTAGCGATGCATCGCAGATATTACGGTTGCGAACTACAGTTCGAAAACACCAGCATATTATTTCAACACCACGACCAAACAAGTCGAGAGATGGTAGAAGCCTACTACATCATGAAGAGCAACAGTTCGTGTGTGAGCCAACCTTCGGTAATATGACTCCCAGCGAGATGAAGTTTTTGGATTCAGGGTAACCCAACCTCCTGAGGAAAGAAGAAGAACACCAGTCTACAATCGGATGAAAAACAAAAAAAGAAGAAAGGGGCATATTCCACGAGGCGCCAAGCAAGCGCGCGAACATTTGACTCCATGTTTTTCATTTCATTGTCATTCTTCCTTATTTTGTAATAACGGACCAGTTGCTAGTCAGCACTTTGTCTTGTGTTCTCTTCGTCTCTGTGTCCTCGTCGCAGTCGCGCTGTGTTTCAACATGTATACGCGTCATGAGGTGAATGCTCATGAGAACGAAGCCAGCTGAGCCAACGACTTCGCTGTTACTTGTCGCAGCTGTCGCTGTGACTGTATACTGTACATTAACGCAAGACTGCTTTTTTTTTTTATAGCTGAACGACACTTCAATGAGTAATACATTAGCAATGTTTAAGAAGGTGATCATTTATTTCAGTTACTTTAAATAAGACTCTTTAGAACTCTTGGCTGGAGGTTAACAGTAGAACGCGGAAGCTCGGGTATGTTTCAACAATAATATTTTGGTGCTTTCCCACAGTGGGAGAGAGACCCGACATTCACTACGGGTTGTCATGTCCAAACTCTGCGTGGCTTTTAACGTCGCAGGGATTGGCTGAAAATTGTGCTCATACGTGGAACGCCGGGATTATCCACGCGACTCCTGACTCGAAGACCTCAGAGGCTGCGGCTTTCCGCGGAACATTAAAAGCATCAATAAATGAAGGCGCTGCTCAGGCAGCTGCGCTTCACGGACCAGACGGGACTGAATTAGAAGCCGCTCCCCGGAACCTGAAATAGAAGACCGACTCGCGGCCGCGAGCGCGGCTGCGCACTTTCACACAAAGGCCCATAGTCAAGGCCTAACCTTCGAACGCGTTTCGTTTTTGTTCTTTTCTTCGCAGCTGCTAACCCACAGACCGCCCCTCAAGTGCGTACTATCGGCTGCACTTGCTGTTTATTCTTTCTTATATTTTTACATCCACCACTTTTATTGTTCTTTCTTCTTGTGACCGTCATATGTCCCAAGAGTGAACACGTTTTTTTCTTCTTTTTTTTCAAATTGTGACGGCTATTAATAATGAACAAATGAAGCTTAACCGGACACACTTACAAGATGTAATCTGTATTAAATTGAGGCAGCCATTTTGTAACGCTAATCGAATCTCTTGCAAGAGTGCGGACCAAGGTTGGAAAAATTAGTAAATATCCAACACGTTTTCTCGTACCACAGATAACGAGCATTTCTTCATGCGGTAAAATAAATTCCCGAGTTTTTTCTCTCGCAGCATGTTTTATTATTAAATAATATTGACGCGCCCTATTTACAATTGAAAAAACGAGAACTAACGCCCGAATGGGTTTCTAATATTCCATTAGAACCACGTGGCAACATAGTGACCTTGATCATAAAGTGTCAATATTTTGTTACCATACTTCAGAACGTGTGACGATTACCTCGTGTCTTGCTTCATGTTCGTTTTGCTGACTGCCAAGGTGCGATTCAATCCCAATGTGACTTTCTAAAGGCTGTCTCTGCGTATAAGTCTTTGCAAGCAACAAACAAGTAAATGAATCATAACTACACCACTAATTTCACAGTGAATCATTTACAAAGCATTCTAATGGCCCCGTGGGGTCCTCTTTTATAAACATCCAAAAACGTTTTGATAAAATCAATTAGGTGCTTTTGTTAAGTGGTAGAAATGAGCACGTTCAGAATTTCGCACACCTGCTACTTTGTAGAAATAATACCGACTGAACAATTTTAGTAAAACAAATACGTGAAACAGGCAATATTTATTTCAAATATTCTATGTACAAAGAATACAACATTTGCGGGCAGTATAGCATGAATTGGTTTGAATATATTACAGTCGAACGAGTAATTGCGATGTATTTCTGAAACTTGATAAAATTTCTCTTTTTTAACACGAACAGAGGAACAGGGGATCCAGAATGTTTTGGATATGTATATATATAGGTATATGTAGACAACTAACGTACTCATGGACAGTTTTATGCGCGTTTGGCCTGATAATTCGTTCCTTCTTTTTTGTACTTATACCTATTTCTTTTGGTGAGGTAAATTATTCTCTTTGTGTTGCTACTTTCAAAAAGAACTAAGGAAGATTTAATGTGTGCGAAAAGTCAGAATAGTAGAAAGTGAATTAAGATGCTCTTAATGGCAAGTAAAGTGAAACATCAAATATTTTAGGCCTAAAGTTAGAGAGGTAGCAACTGTCGGCTTGAAAATGAAACGAGTAACTGCCACCAAAAAACTGTTCACCAAAAATATTCATTCAGGCCATTTATACATTTGATGGAAGTTTAAATGGAAAGCTTAATCAGGCACTCACACTAACTATACAGATTGAAGAACGGGTCATATCCTTTAGCTCCAAGTACTGTTCTAACCTCCCAAGGAATCACACCTTTTTCATGTATGATGAAAAACTCATCAGGTAACAGTTGTTATAGCCTCACAGTTCTCGCCAGGTGACCCCACTACAAATGCCAGGTCCTATGAAAACCCAATGTCCCGTCTCCCTGAGTCCACCTCTTTGTCTTCAGTAGTCCCCGACGTATAGAAACGCCTCCGCCTTCTGGTCACCTTCAGGCTCCGCTGTGGCATGCTGTAGCCTGTCCTGTTCTGGCATCGGAAGCATGGCCGTAATCTTCAGCTTCCCGTCCGCTGTCAAGTTGGACGTGATGGTCTCGACGTCGATGCCATCCGGTAGAGAGATCTCTCGTCGCGTCTCCTTGCAGGAGCCGGGCCTCTGCTTCTTGCAGTGCACCAAAAGCTTGCCCTCGATGGCCTTGACGGTAATCTCCTCCGGCTCATATTCTTGCACGTCCACTTCCATGAGCAGCTTGTTGTTCTCGTCCACTACGGTCTTGACCTCCTTGAACGCCTTCTCGAACGACGGGAAAGACCTTGCCGGAACGATGTCCCTGAAGAAGTCGTCGAAGTCGTCGTCTTCCAGCAGGCTGGATCGCATGGGAAACTGATTGAACATGGCGCTCAGTTCCCGTCGTAGGTCGTAGTTGGGCCGGCTGGCCCGCTCAAGGACTTCTTGAACATGCCGTTTCACTTCCGTCCGGTACGACTCCTGAGGAACACTCCGCAAGGAGTGGATGGGGATGACGATCTCGCTTCGTGCCATGCCGCTTGGCGTGTCCGAACAATGCCACCTCGTGCGATCCATGTCCGCTTATATGCTGGAGCTCCTCTCTGCCGGGGTAGCCGCGCCGATGTCGGAATGCGTCTGCGGGTGAAGGGGGGGGGGGGGGGGGGAGGGATGGGGGCTACGTCACGGGCGGTTGGTGAAGGACTAAGAATAGCACCGGGGTTTCGGCACCCCTGACGCACTGCGAGTGGGGAGTGTGGTTCCACCTGGTGTTTTCCAAAAGAAAGACACGCAGATATGGTGGACCCTACGAGAAACTTCGAGAACAGTGCGTCATTTCAGCCCTTGTGTTTCAACGGCAGGGATAGCGGAAGTCTCGTGGTGTCTCGTTAGAAACTTCGCTTCCAGCGCGCTGGAGGGCGGAACAGTTCTTGGGATGGTGGTGGATGGGGGTGCGTGGTCTGTAGCACACGGCACGGATCTTGATGACTCATTTGAAACGCCGACGTGCCCTCAACGTGTTCCAGAAACTTCGACGTCGCCGCGGTCCGGGTGCAACTGGTTGCGATGCAACCGGTGAGCAACCCTCAGGTGACGACGACGGGCAGGTGGAAAACGACATTAGTCATGACAATCGACCACGTGGGTTTACGACGGTTTTTTGTGAACACAACATCTGCCCAGCATTTGAACTTGATCTGCCGTAAGCTCAGGACGCCACAAATGTAGCAATTGTGCGGTTGTTGTTTTTATTATTCGGCTGATCATTGTATATGGTATCAAGCAGGACAGGAGTAAAGACACATTTTTTTTTTTTTTTATGGATGATGATGCAGAAGGAATTGTGTGTTAAAATGCTACGATGTGAGTCTGTTGTACAAGGTAAATATAATCAATACGGTGTGCCTGATAAAGTGAAGCTTGTGAAACGCGTCTGGCACGACGCAGCTCTTACCAAGGCAAGACAATGGGGCGCCCCTACTCATATTGAAGCAGAGAGATGTTAAACTCGAAGTCATGATCTCGTACTCTGCGAAGCGGGCTTGTATAATCCTGCGAAGCTGTTGGCCTTAATTACTCTACAGATTAATTTCCATTGTAATCAATATCGTTTTGTTTCCGTAGCATATCTGCAACAGCAAGGGGAAAGGCAGCTCTTTTGAAGTTTTGCAAAATTTCAATGACCTGTTTTTTTTTCTTTTTTTAGTACCCAGCATTAATCGTACAATACAAATTATTTCCACAGAATGCTGACAGGCTAAATAATAAATTTACTAGAATTCAATGAAGTATCTATCTTTAGTTCGTTTATTACTAGTGCTCATATAAACTAAAGCAATGTTTTTTCTCGTTTCGTCAGATCGTAAATTTGGTTTAACGAGGAAAAGGTTTTACGATGTAATAATTCATTGACTGCTGTAGCGGAGAAAGGGGGAGACAGTGACCAAGCGAGTGGTGGTTAGGTGTCGGGAGTTGAGCGAACATCAATCTTCAAGTTGTTTTTATTATTTTTATTTTATTTTGAATCATTTTTTCTTTTCCGTGATTATTGAAAAAAGCAGTACAAAAACAAGGAAGTATTTCAGGCATCATTAGAAGTGGCCAGTAAACAACAGGCCATCGTAAACGCTTGGAAACATAGTTTCTAATAGCGGTAGGTCGCATGCAGTACAACATAGCATTGCTAAAGTATATGATATAAGTTTGAAAGTATAGAGTATTGGAAATATTCGCAAGGGTTGAGTGCGGTAATTCCGTAGTAGTAAGTTTTAATACTTCTTTAAAATATTTTTAATACGTTGAAATAATTCTCAGATAACCGCAGGTCACTGCTATACGCAATGGTAGCGTCAATTCCTACTACCAATTCGCAGGCCATAAAATTAGAATTAGGGTTTCAGAAAAACAAAATTCACGAGATATGATAACGCAAGTTGGCGCAAAGTGTAAGAAGCTGAAAGAAGCGGTAAAAAGTACCTACATAGATGTATAATTAAACACAAATTCAGGTTCCTAGCTAGATTCAGCCAGGAAATGCTCCCCGTTCAACGCAGCCGCATGTGAGTTCTATAAATGTGTCAGAATTTAGCATTCAATCCAAGCTCAAGAGCCTCATAAATAAACACAGCGCTGCTCTAAGCATGCTGCACATTCTCTATCTCCGGGCATTAACTGTAGGATTGGGATCTTATGTATATATGCAATTTCGTATGGCCCGTGGAAATGTATCTCTTCGTCGTGTTGAGCGGCTGTGTAGGATGGTTTCTTTATGATATCTCGGTGAAGAGACGAACCCCGAACGTTAGGCAGACCATGATACCATGGTCCACAGAACGCTTAGCACTCTAAACACACTAGTTCGAAACACGTTCCAGGCGCCCTAATGATACGTATCCTTATTTCATTAACGCCGATGGCCATTATGGCAAGGATCACGGCAGATCTCGAGTGTGGTTCGTGTGTGTGTGTGGGGGGGAGGGGGGTCATGACGTCATATGACGCCACGTGATGTAACAGTGTCGCGCGACGTCGGGGTGCCACGTAACGTCGTGATATTATGTCGTGGTGTCGTAAGACCTGGAAATGTTAGGTGACGTCATGAGGGGACGTCACAAAACGCTCTGACGCCAATGGGCAACGTGACGTCAAATCGAGCCATTACTCACGTGACACTGACGTCACGGTATTCGCGACTCAAACTTACTATAGATGGCACCACTCGTTTTCCAAAATGGCGGTTATAGTGACTGTAGGAGATGCGTACCGCTGCTGAGCGTGTCTCGTGTGCTGGCTTCACTGAGCGCAAGAAATTATTTCAGGTAATACGAGGAAGCTGGGGTGTTATGAGCGCGAGCCACCTTTTCATCTTGAAACCAAAAACGGTGTTTAGCGTGATATTTACGCCAGGAGGCAAGTTTAGATTCTGGAGCGAAACCGAAACTAACCTTTATTTTGGATTTAATTTCTCGGTATATGTCTTAATTGCCGATCCTTTTATACCTCAAGATGTTCCTCACATCGTAAATATTTAGGTAAATAAGTTCGCGGAAACTCTATTTTGTGACATACATGTTTGATCGAGGCACTTCAAAATATTTTGAAAATTTCCGTGTCCCTTTAAAAGCAGGGTCGTTCATACACCTTAGACGTGTCATAGAATGTTGTAGTTGATGAAACTACGAATCTTGATATTTGTGCCTTCTCGCTGCCTTTTCTCGTTAAGATTATTATCATGTCGAAAAATGAACTGCGGGTCTTTCATAGGGTTTTGGGTATTTAGATGATTAATTGCTTTAAAATTATTCCCAGCGCAAGGATAACAGAATGAATTCACTTTTTACAATATGTCCACTAAATGTATAAATTAAAAAACGCTGTTCTCACTAGAACAACCCAAAGAGGGAATCCGAGTCAGAGAGGTGAGCTGCGTGTGTCTTTAAAGCAACGCGTGACGAATAGGACCTGCATCCAATGTTTGACTGTTTGTCTATCTTGAAGACGATGCCAGAGTTTTATGCTAAAAAGAAAACAAAATGATACCTTTCTGGAAATACTATTATAGTTAAATGGCGTATTTTTGTGAGCGTGACGTTTATTAGGGGGGCATACATTGCCATGGTTTCTATTATTTATATTAGTATTAAAATTAAGATATTTTAATACGTAATTTTTCAATCTCTAATATACTTTGTTGCTTATGATCTTATTTCAAACGCGCAAACAAGTATCACTATCAAAATGTGCTAATTATCACGACCGGTGCTAATTGCGGCATTTTAATGACCAAGTTATAAAATATGAATAGTCTAAGATCAATGAAAACGTCCTAGCTAATGTGAGAAATCTATGTAAAATTACATTATTTGTGGTTAAAGTATATTTTGCCGTCAAAGTCTTAACTTTTGAACATCGGCAATACTTCCAGTCACAGCCAATAACCTACCAAACCAAATGCCCCAAAATAAAAATTAAAAAAAAAGATTTTTTTTTAATATTGATTTTTTTTTTATAACATATTTACGCGCCGTCATTTTGCCCATCTCAGCCTTTCCAGTTCGAAGGAACGCCTTCCTGCTTGCACATCTGCTCACTGCAGCACGTTTCGTTGGCGTTGGAAGGCGGTGAAACAGTAGAGAGTTCTAGTACCGCTTATACGAGCGAACGCAAGCGCTGTGTGTTTGCGTTAGCTTTATGTGTTCCACTCTGCGCGTGCGCGGAGATCAAATTGCTGTCCTGAATTGGCGCAAGGCGATGACGCGCGCGCACAACGTGGAGCACGCAACTCTAACGCAAACGCACAGCGCTTGCGTTTCCTTCTATACACAATGCTAAAACTCTCTAGTAAGGTACAATCCCATACCGGCTGCAGCATTACGTTGGGACAGTGAAGAGTGTTGTTTGCGTTCGGAAATGACATTTCGCGAGCCATGATCGCGAGCAGTTCTGGCGTGCCCGCTGAGCAGGAGAATCGGGGGGCCCTCACTAGTGCGCTTCCCGTTTCCGCCGCAGGAGGGCGAGCAACGAGCTGGAGACGCGAATAGTGGTAGGTGACACTATGAAATCACAGTGTCACGCGGCGTCGCGGTGTGACGTGACGTCATGTGTTACCCTGACGTCATGTGACACCCAACTTCTCGTGCCAGGCGACTTTAATGTGAACGTGTATCGTGATCGGAACATGCGACTAAAACTGTGACGGAAGAACTTTGAGCCTGTACATGTATATCAATGACGAGGAATTTGAAACGAGATGGACTCGGTGTGTTACCAATAGATTAACAGCGCCGATTGCCTCGACGACGTAATTTAGTATTCACGAGCTTTTGATGTGTTGTACGCTAATAACTTCCGAATGTTGGTGGAAGCTCTCTTTGTGCGCTGTGATTGTTTCGCGGTCTGGTTACAGAAAAGTATACGTTATGCTTCGTTCACACTTGTGAACCGACGGCCGAATCCTCGAGAATTCTAACACCCGGTGACGAAAGCAGGCAGAACTTCCGGCGGAGAGCAAGACCGCTCTGGGACCGATATCGAAAGTCGAAAAAAAAAAAGTTTTCTCCCGCCGCAAGCCAATCAGAACGCACGGGGGAAGTGGCGCTTGCTGACGTCAGATCCCCACTGAAGAGCTGGCGACGATGGCGACGAGACGCGCGCGGGCGAGGAGGAGGTTTGGGAGCTCTCGTCAGCTCTCGTCTGTTCT